AGTTACTGTTAATGGGGCAAGAAACAAAGCAACTCTGCCGAAGAACCTGTGGCAGCAGATTGCCCAGTATCTCCATGAGAGTTTCCTGGAGATCTCTGAGGGAGATTTCTGTGAAGTGAGGGAGTCAATCAACAGCCTGTTCCGCCGCTCAGACTAGGCATGTGGTGGTACATGCATCATACAGACACAAGCCTGCTTTCTGCAACCCTCCTGCCCCCAACAACTCGCTTCAGCGATTCCCAAAATCAAAGCCACTTACCAGGGGCCTCCTCTCCTCTTTGCGCTTTGCCAACATCCGATAGCTGTGACTGGCTAGTCTCCTCCGGGGTAGAGAAGAGCTCCTGGCTGCATGCATCTCTGACCTCTGAGTCATCCTCTGCCTCTGGGTCCTCGTCCCCCTCCTCCACATCCTCGTCCAAGATTTCCTCCTCCTAGCTCAGTTCACTATCGACTGTCCCCTGAGCCACCAAAGTATCCTCAGTGGCCTTCGCAGTGGAGGTGGGGTCGCCACTGAGTATCACGCCCAGCTCTTTGTAGAACCGACAGCTCGTGGGCGCAGCACCGGAGCGGCGGTTTGCCTCCCGTGCCTTATGGTAGGCACTCCGCAGCTCCTTCACTTTGACCCTGCACTGCAATGTGTCCCGGTCATGGCCCCTTTCTGTCATGCATTGTGAAATCTGTCCGTAGGTATCATAATTCCTACGGCTGGAGCACAGCTGGGATTGGACAACCTCCTCTCCCCAAATGCTCATGAGGTCCAGCAGATCAGCATTGCTCCAAGCAGGGATCGCCTGGTGCGTGGAACAGGCATGGTCACCTGGAAAGATGCGCTGAGACCACTGCATGCATCACCGAGAAAACAGGAAGGGGACTTTCAAAATTCCCAAGGAATTTAAGGGGTGGGTCTCACAGTTGGTCACCAGAGGGCAGGGCAGTAGAGTTCAAACCAATGACCAGAGAGGCGAGAACAGGCATTGTGGGATACCTGCTGGAGGCCAATCACAGTGCTGTAATCACCATGGTGTCTACACTGGCACCGCAGCGCTGTAGCCCCGGCGCAGAAAGCTCTACGCCTCTCATCGGGGTGGTTTTTTTACAGCGCTACAAGTGCGCAGTTTCTGCGCACTAAGTGGCTTGGCAGTGTGTGCACCTCGGGAGTTACACGGCAGAAAGCCGCTTTACTGTGCAGAAAGTAGTCAGTGTAGACAAAGCACAACTTTGATCTCTATGCCTGCTACTTAAAATCACTGAAAATCTGCCTTTCTGTAGTTAATAAATGTGTTTTATATTTGATCAAAACCAGTGTGGTTTTGGTTGTCTTCGCTCACAAGGGTGCACTGCCCAGGGCAGGTGGAGGGTTCAGGGCTCCCCTCAGCAGACCAGACTGACCTGCTCCAACCCAGGCTCCGGGGCCCCGGCCCACAGGCACTGCTCCCCAAGGACTCTGCTGGCCCTGGAGTCAGATCCCCCCAGTGGGCAGCTCTTACTGGCTGCGAACAGCCAGGGCCCAGAGTAATGCCTTCAAATTAACGAGGTGGAAATACTACTGAGAGGGGCGGGGCCTTGTGGCAAGGGGGGCACAGTCCCTAATTTTCCCTCTGGGTCCCCCACAGATCCCACACCAGGAACAGGCTGGCGGCACCCCGGGGCATAGGAACGATGTAGACACCCCCCTTGTGTCTTTCTTCTCCCACTCTTTGTTTAGACAGTGAGCTCCTCAGGGCAGGGACGGTCTCTTATAGTACGTACGTGCCGGGCCTAAAACAGTGGGGCTCTACAGGTGGTTGAGGACTCTAGCTGCAAAGGGAATAAATTATAACGTGAATTGTCCTTTCCTTCCATCTCAGACTTTCTTCCTCACCTCATTTCCTTTTTCTTTGTCTATTTTACTTCCCCTTTCCTTAGACGCCTACATCTTTCTATCCCTCTCCACTGCTTTGCACACACTCTCTTTCTCTCTCCCATCCTTTCTTTTCCACTCCCAGCTCTCTCTTTCCCTCAGTCTTCTCCCCCCCTCCACCTTCCTTTTGTCTCCTGTCTCCCATCTCTAGCCCCCTTCTTTGACCCCCCCCCCCCAAGTCTCTGGTTGGCCCATTGTGGTTGAGATTTGCCTCCCTGGAGCAGACA